ACCAGGGACTTAGTTTGAGGCTTGAGTCACTGGGGAGACTAGCTATGACCTTTACCCCAAACGGCAACGAACAAAAACTAAACTTGTCACTGTCTTCTTTCAATCGTTGGTTGCTGAAAAAAAATATTTTTTTTTTATCTGTATAGTAGGGGCTTTCATAGTCCATTTCAGTCGCAAGTTTGAAGGGAAATATTAAGATTTGAAAAGTATAATGTACACGGCGAAACGAAACAGAAAAAATGAACCATAATTTTTACTCTTCTGGTCAAGTTCCATATTAAAGCTAATTGCCACATCTGGCTAAATTCCAACTCTTATCTTGAAGTGAAGTTTCAGTAGTTTTATTACAGAAGTCTTACCATCACATCTGCGCCCGTCGTCATTCAATGCGTATCCATCACGGCACTCGCAGAAGAAAGAACCCGGAATATTGACGCACATCTGCTCACAGTTGTTTGATGAGCTACTTTGGCATTCGTCATAGTCTACGAAAAATGTCGCTCTATATTTTATCAGAATTTCTTATTTGTTTAAAATGGTTATCTACAGTAAATTAGTTGCAGAAAAATTATACGATCAAATATGTTTCTGCAATGCAACTCCTGACTTACTGTAGTGAACATTTCAGTGACATATCTAAGGTAAAAGATGAGCTGTAGCGTTAGGCATTGTACTTTGGTCTGTTTCACTGTCTTGGGGAGGTGAGAAAGGAGACGGAGGTTTTGATGCAACAGTTTTTTTGTTCGGAGATGCAGAAGGAAAAATGTGTTGTAAAAATTTCCTTGGAGATTTACCATAGATAGCTCTATTCCAGTGTTGTCTTATCTATGTTCACCCTAACCCTTTTATTACCAGTAATTCTGCCATGGAATTCATGTGACTTCCGTTTGGATAATTCGGTATCAGACCAGCCAAGAAACCCTAATTGTTTTTTTCCTTGTTGTCATCACTTATCTGCTTGATATTGTATTGATATGGGGAGAAGAAATTCTGTCTTGGTCACTAATTTCCGCCAGAGGGTTTAAGTCTTTTGTATGTCAAATCAAGCCATGGCTTTGATGCCCTAAAGGTCACCCCGACTTGAAGTTTACATACACATGTGAACTCACCTACACACTGCGCTCCATCACCTGTGTACCTTGATGGACATGGTCCACACTTATATCCACTGGAATTAGCTGGTGTAGGAAGATCAGTGCACTCAACTCCTGTGTAACACGGCTGACCATTCATTTCGCAAGGATCAATGTCGCTGTCACAGAACCTTCCTGTGTATCCTCCCTGACATGCGCAGCCCATGTATACAAACTTGTTGTCAGTGTTGGCCGTGTCACCTTTTTCAGGTTCCACGCATTGACCGTCGTGTTGGCAGGGGCACATTCTAACGGTTGGAATCCAGCTGGTGCTTGAGCCTTTGTCATCGATAGCAACAAAGGTCATATTGAACTAGAAAGAAAGAAATTATTTGATGAATAATATATTGGATAATATTTCCCTCTTTCATTTAACCATTATCATTTTTGTCAAGCAAATTTGAATTGTAAATTTTCACATTTTATTGCATTTGCTTGTCACGCCTGAGGTAATGGATAAATATATTTCATGAAAAGGATCTACCGATATGTAGACGGGATAGGACTACATCCTGTCCTAATTTGGAAATAATTGGAGGAGGACAGTCAAAATTGGACGAGGCCGTAGGCTGTCCAATTTGGCTGTCAAAGGAATTTTATTAAATCAGGCAAGCGTTATTGGGCATTGCTCAGTTAAGCCATTATCCTTTAATTTCAAACTATCCTTTAATTTCAAACTATCCTTTAGTTTCAAACTAGACAGATAAAAACTTAATTGGACAGTTTTGATTGCAGAACCGCATGTGATTGGTTGAAAGGGTTGCATGAGTTTTCTAGACTAATCACAGCAAGAAGCGCAAAAAAAAAAAAAAAACCAACGCAGTCCTGGATGAATTTTGTTGCTTAATCATAACTTGCTGTAAAGACTAGAGAAGTAATTCATATTTTTCACTTTTGAAATCTTCGAGCCACGGCTACACTTTTAGTGGACATGGTTACCTGATCTAATGGTAATAAAGATATATTGAATAGAAGGGTTTCACCTTTTGTGATGACGCTACAGGCCAATAAAATAACAGCATGTTTCCAGTTTGGTTCCAAGTGGCTCCTACAGGTTTGTTAATCACTTGAAACGTGATAGTGCCCTCGTCCACAGCAGTAATACTCAGCTCAACTGTTTCATTAAGTGTGGCATTTATCACATTTGAGCTGTTTACTATCTTAGGCGGGAAGTTTTCTACAAAGATAGAGAAAAAAAGAGATGTGCCGATCTCAAGATATCAGATTTAGTACGGCAATCTTTAATTTGAACAACCACACAGTCGGAATCGTGTTAATATCGCAAAAGCACCTTATGTTTAACACTTACATATCTTTTCATGTTTTCTAATCACATATTTATTGGGTCGGTCCAACACATTGTTTTCAGCAAAATATGCTCCTTCGAAC